CCCAGACGAACGACTTTTTGTTTTGGAATATACTGACGATGTTTCCCTAATCTGTGACAGCTGCCATACGTGCCAAGCGGCATTGGACATGTTAGCACTGGTTGTCAACCGTCTCGGACTAAGCTTTTCTCCAACATTGGCAGGGATCGCCTCCTGCACTGACCCTTGGTGCGGATGATCTGGAAGTTATACAAAAATTCAACTACCTGGGTAGTTGTATTGGCGCTTTTGTTTACCTTTACCATCTCTAGCGCCGGCACGACATCACTGTCACCCTGAAGGGTAAAATGTGTAGTTGTGAAATATGACCCCTTAGATCAGCCGACATAAAGAGGCTAGTTTCGTTAGACCACCGGTGTGTTCGCACTTTGGCTTACATCTGGTGGGAACACCGCGTGAGCAACGAGCGTGTTCGACGCCTTGTTTACGGCACAGGAAAAGGGAATGAACCCATGCACTGTTATTTCACGTACCAGGCTCCGATGGCTCAGCCACATGTTACGTATACCAGCCCACCGACTCCTGCGAAGTGCGTTTGCGCGCCGGGGATATTTGTGGAAGAAGACAGGTGGCCCAGTGGTGACTTGGTCGAGAGCAATGAAGGCTCTTACTTCGACGTTGGCGTCGGTTGGATCGTCTCGGCTCCTTGATTGGGGTCCGAAAGACGAACTCGTTTCTCTGGATAGACTTGCCGACATGCCTAGGTGCCGACCTCAGTGACGTTCGTGCTGTGGATTTCTTTGTCTTTCCTCATCCCTCTTAGCTTCCCCTTCCAACCAAGACCTCACTTCTTAACATCATGTGCTTTTTGCATAATAAATGTTTTTTTTGCTTTTATTTATAACGCAGCGGTAGCTGAGGTATTTTTCACCTTTAGCGAACTTGTTTAATGGTGATGAGGATTACTCCAGCAACAATCAGCTGTCTCCTGGAGCTAATATAGACGAGGTGGTGGGTAATAGACAGGTAGGCATCTTGTTGAGATGCACATCAAGCACAACCACACCGCGGATGTCAAGCAACAACCAATCATCTTAAATGACTACATCAAATAAAACGATCAGATAAAGCATACGGATATGCCGACTTAACTCTTCGCTAAATTAACCTACGTAATAAATTGGCTCTCAACAAATCCGCGCTATTTTTAAGGTGTCCAAAATATATTTTTAAAAATGTGACGAACGCGCAAACCTTAACTAGGTCAGCCACAGTTACTTCAGGCTACGTGTGCAATTCAATAGAAGATTATTCAAGCGGACGTTAAAACGAAGTAAATAAAGCATTAGGACCAGACAGCATACCCCCCACCTGGAAAAACAAACTCATCATGCAAGTACGCGTTCAGTAACTCGAAGGCAGCGTACCTACCAACGTTGCATTAGTTCTGCTTACGTTCTCTGAAACACCCGTCGTTTTTTCGATGTTGTCCCGAGTGACCTCGCTCGTGGCTAACTAAGCCTGCCTGATATTGATGGTTGACGGCATCCGTCTTCCGATTTGCCTGTCACTGTAGCCACCATAGGATAGCCACATAAAGCCTGCACCTACAGAGGAGCCGTGGTTGGCTTGTGCTGCACCACCCACAGCTCCGTCCACATGCCACATATCCAGTGTAAACCCGAAGGAATAACACCGAAAAGCATGCGATTTGAGAGTTACTTTTCATCAATGGAGCTGGCCCACACTCCTTCAGAGCAAACACAAGCACGCTGTATTCGGGGGAATCAAGTGTACACAAAGGGGTGGCTGGACTTTAGTCCGCTCCACACTGGATGGAACCACTATCCGATTCTAGCATGGCTACAGCGACCATGCATCCCGCCCCCCCCCCCAGCAACGAATCAGTCTCCTGGAGCTAGTAATCGAGGTGTAGGGTGTTAAACAGGTAGGCACCTTGTCTGCATGCTCACCAAGCACAGCCACACCGGAGATGTCAAACCGCAACCAACCACTTGAAATGACACTATCAAATAATAGTTAGCGAATAAAGCATACGGAAATACCGATTTAGTTCTTCGCTAAATGAGCATGTGAAATAAATTGGTTATCAACAAATCCGCGATTAGCTCAATATGTCAGAAATAGATGTCTTAAACATTGCTACAAACACGAGAAGGTTAACTAATTTAACCACAATCTGCTTAAGCGACGTGTGTAAATAGAAAGAAGCATATTCAGACAGATATCTAAATGACTTAACGAAGTAAGCATTAACAAAATATAGCAAACCAGTCAGCTGAAATAAAGAAACTGCGCACGCATGCACGCCGTTAGCAAATCGAATGCAGCGTACCTACCAACGCTGCGCCGGTTCTGCCTACCTTCTCTGCGTGACCCTTCGTCGTGAGCAGTGAGGTGAAAAAATATGCATTAAGACAGGATAGGAAACTCGTCACCTGAAATAAAGAAATTCAGCACACAAGCATGCAGATAGTAACTCGAATGCACTGAACCTACCAACGCTGCGCCGGTTCTACTTACGTTTAGCGGGACTCTTCGTCTTTTCGATTTTGGTCCTGTGACTTCGCTCGTGGTTAACTAGGCTTGTCTGAGAGACAATTAGGAGCACCGGGCGGCTGGCTGAGCGGAACACTTACAAGATCAGTTGAGTTGGCTACCTACTCTTGAATCACTTCCTACTCAGTTGATCGAAGAAGTACCTACTTTCTTTCTCTCTCTCCATATATATATATATATATATATATATATATATATATATATATATATATCGAGTAGGTACCTCTTGGATCATCTGAGTAGGAAGTGGTCCAGGAGTAGGTAGCCAACTCACCTGATCTTGTAAGTGTCCTGCCCGGCGAGCCATCCAGTGCTCCTAATTGTCTCTCAGCGCACCAGCGATGTCTCTGATTGTCTCACTTACGCCCGGTTTTCTGGGGCTGTTGGTGCGGACCAGCTGGAAGAGTTTACGGCAATTGCCTACTGCTCCTGTCTCTTCCATTTCGTGAGCTCGCTTGGTCCACCAAGCTTCCTTGTCAGCACGCATACTCCGCCTTAGTTCGCGCCTAATAGTCCTTCTGGTCACATTGTGATCAGTGTCAGCCGATAGTATCCTTCTGGATTCCAACAGGTTCATCGACCTTTCGGATATCCAGTTATTAGTGCGGTGACAAATGCTAGTGCACCAAACAAATGCTCCTGCGTCATGCATAGCGGCCGAGATCCTGTTCCACTGAAGTGTCATTATAACATGACAGTAAATGTTCGGTACGCAGTGCGTCTTGAGGGCTGTTACAGTTTCTCACTTGCCAATCGCGCGAGATGCTTGATGCACCACCCGGCAAAGTTCATGGAGAAACAACAGTGTACCAAGGCATGACCAGAGTCGACGCAGATGTTCCAGTATGAGCGGCAATCCAGCATGGAGTCACGCCACCTGTAACTTATGGCACTGTGATTACTTTGTGTCTATCGCTGGCCAATTGCAGGAGGATGGCAAGTGGCGCCCACTGTGTCTAATAGGTGTTCCTAAGCAACAACGTGCTCCGCTCACAGTTGCAGCAGACGCTCGTCGTTTTCAATCCGTTCGGAGTTAAGCTCATAATTACCACCCAGTTGAGCTTCTGAAGAGCTCAGACGCCCTACTTGTATATTCATATCCCCTGCAAGTGCTATAATATCTGAACTAGTAGTAGCGCTTTCAGTTTGTGGTAAAATGTGTCCTTGACAGTATGAGAACTGCAGTCGGGGGAAGTATAAGCGGAAATCACAAACAAATAACGTTTTGTACTGCTTCGTGAATCAACCTTAGTTGATTTCGTCAAACGAGATACACACAGATAACTGTTCACAGGAGTCCAGTCAACCAACAATGGCTCAATCTTCGAGCTGAGAATGCTACCTACCCCAGTTTGACCCGTGAGTGTTGCATCATCGTCTCCGGATGCGTGCAACCAATAGCGAAAGCATAAGCCGGGCGCAGTTAATTAAACACCATTAAGGTCACTGGTCCTGGTTTCGGACGCACAACTTACGTTAATACCTAGTGTGTCCAATGTACGTGTGAGTACAGCCTGTTGACCTATTTGTCTTAGGGTGCGAACGTTGAACGTCACCAGGTAGACAGGACACCGTGGCCTTGTAAGGAACTGTTGCCGATAGGCATCCGATGGGTGGTGCTAGAAGGTAGTTGCAGACGGCATTACGGTCGCTGTCAATAAAGCTGGGAATTATAAAAACAGGGTTAGTGATGGGAAACAGGTGGAAAAAAAGAAGTGAGACGTCAGCAGTAGTATGTCTTCGCTTATCCGCCCTGTTGCATGCAGCAGATGAGGCGACCCTTGATAATCTGCGCGACGACCGATGCAGGATGTGCTTGAAGTTTGATGAAACAGTCATGGTTGTAGCTTGGCTGAGATACTGCTAGGGCATCCAGGCCTAGACCGGAGGACGATTAGGGTCTTCAACCAAAGGCTTTGGCTCAAAAACCTGTCCGCAACCCATAGGTGGCAATGATTTCGTTTTACAGAAATGGACGCCATCCCATTCCAAACCTCCAACCTTGGGGACCGGAAGGCTGAGTTTGTCTGACCTCTGACCATTGACCAACCTGGTAATTGCTCTCACGGGCCCGGAAACACCACACAGTGTAGTTCAATTTGTCACGGAGGTATACAAATCGTCGCACCGCGTTAAGGTCTAGTCTTTTTGCGACAGCTCTTAAAGCAAGTAAGCCATCATGTAATTCCATTTTAGGGCGGCATTTGTATACAGTATAGATGCTGTAATCATCTAGCCCGTACCATCAATTGCTTTTTTGCGTCAGGCACATTTTCCTGGCCAGGTAGTCAGCGGCAATGTATCTTGCATGGAACGGCCTACTATCATGTCCATGTGCCGATGTATTTTGGCCACACAATTATAAGAACTGTCTAACTGTTGTTAGATGTGTACTGTTCCTCTGAAAATACCCCCAATCAGGGCTTTACTCATGGCTGATGCCCTGAAACCGTGATGTTGTACCCTTGTTTACTTCGTAGCGCTGATCATCGATCGAAAGCTTCCTCATGGTGGTTGACTCCTACAGCAAATGACGCGAGATATTGCTCGTGGATAGCACGACAACCAACGCCATGGTGAACAAATCGGCAGATCTTCATGGGTTTGACTGTTCAAGAAAGCTTGTGTCGAGCAACGTCATGCGGTCCACTTCACCACGTTTCACAAGATTCTACAAGTGACGCATCGCACGGTATATTCGCTCACAGCCGTTGCATTCACAATCAAATGGCCAGGTGGAGAGGTTCGTGGACACTTTCAAGTGAGTTCTGCTTAAACCAAAAGAGCAGGGGGTGTATGGAAGAGATGATCTGCAGAATTCATTTTCTTTATCACTCCACGCCAAGTCCGAAGGAGCCGAATGTGATCTATTTGGCCGTAACAATAATGAACTGGAAGCTCCGCACACCATTCGTTGCCATTCGACTAATCCCAGACGGTCTACTACGGTGTGGGAATCCGAATTGGGCAATGAGTCAATTGGTAACACATAGTAGGGTGAGATATTCAAACAGGTCCGAAGTGTCAGTAGTCGCACGTGACTACCGGATAGGCCACACAACATGAACTGCAATCAGGATCAAATACTATCGTAAGTATGTCATCTATGTTGTATTCATTCGATCACAACCCTGCGTCCATCATACTACAGACAACTTCCTGTCATCCAAAAATGGCGAAGCCAGCTGAGCTACCTTTTGACCAGCTTGTGGACTATTTCAGCTTGCCTAACAATGACATGGGCGGTTGCAATCAACCTAACGATGCAGCCAACAGCCCAGAGCCACATGCGAAGGTATTTCAACCCAAGCGGTGGAAACCCAAGCAGAGGGCACTGTACTCAAGATTGCAAACCAACTCAAGCTGCTATTTTACGCCGCAGTCACGAACTTTAGAAACGAGTTTCTGGAAGAGACGAAAATGCGTTGTTTCAGTGATAAAATGACCTATAGCATTGATGTATAGTCGAAGCATTGAATACATCGTTTGATGCGTGCATTTATTTCATCCTTTGTCGGAGCGGAGCTAAGCTGTCAATCCTGATAGCTAACCTACCTTTTCCAGCGAATGAATATTCTTAGTTTGGCGTATACATATCCGTTAGTTGTTAATCCACCTATGTCGTACTGCAACACGCTTTTGCGTCAATTCGTTGCATTGACTGGGAGTTTACAGGAAAGGTTCTCCGTTTCTACCGGTATATCATAGGATATAGGAAAAATACAACAGATCGAAAAGATTGTTACGTGTTTGCTTGGTGGTTGTGGTCTTTTCATGTGTGCTTGGAAATCTTGGTTGACAGGGCCTATCCACGGAGTCAATAAATCTTCTTCATCGGGCCACTTTTATCCAACCCCTTAATGTTCCCTTTTGATTGAAGTTAGCCAGACCTCTTCTTGGCGCCCTTTCTTGATACTCTGTTTGCTTTGGTTAGCCACGTCACTTGGCTTTCGGGTGCAATCAGCTAGCTTCCTATCAAGTCCTGATACGCCACCGACTTAATGTTAACGTAATTGGGCACGGCAGCAAACGATTCCCATGAACGGCGGCCGGGTGGTTTTTCCTGTACACCTCTAGACGAGTATTCCCGAATTTCCCATTTATCTTATGGTGGTGGCATTTTGTTTCCAACCAGAAGAAGAATAAGTAGATTTCCAATCTGAACCGTTGTGTTCTTGTCTCATAATTACCCTACATTGTTGTGTTATGACAGCGTTGCACGTACCGCTGCTCTACTGTGGCTGTGGCTCAATGATCTCTCCCTTTTGTTTTCGTAAGATATTTGGACCTTTTATTTGTCCCGGACTCAAGCATCGGAAGTCTTGTTATAATTCGCGGTGGATTCTCTGACACCTCACTCAAAGGGATATATATATATATATATATATATATATATATATATATATATAATCTGCGGTACAGCTATTCTGCCATCGGCATCATTGCTGAATAGAAAAACCGTATGACAAATATGAAAGTGATAACAACAACAACAGCTTTTTTGTCCAGTTTGTCACACCGTTTTTGCTTTTTTATGGGAGGTAGGAGGGTTACCGCAACACACCGATGCACACGTTCGCCATTGACATCGTTCTTGAGCCACGGCTTCCAAGGTTTTCAACTAGCAGTTATTCGCATCTCTTGGCCCCCAACTAGGTAGTCGACAACAACCGGCCGAGGCCAACTGTTTCGTCAGCGTTTTCGTGCGGCTTCTTCAAGTTGCAGGCTGTCCACCGTACCGTCTCTTCCAGTTCTGTGTAGCAACCGCAAACAACGCACGACGCAGGTAACGCTGGACAGGCATGTGCAGTAGGTGTCCCAGCCACTGCAGTTGATGCAGTGAGATGAGCTCCACGAGCGAGTGGGTTCCTCGTTCAAAGATACGCTGTCCAACACCCCTATTGCTTATCTGGTGCCGCAACCACACACGAGCTATGGACCGCAGACAGCTGTGCTCGAAGGCAGATACTCTGCGCAAGTCACCTTTACCAATGGCCATGTCTCGCATCTGTACAACAGTACAGCACGAACAGTTGCAAAATAGACCCGCCCTTTGATGGTGAGACGAATGTCGTGGCGACGACACAAATGCCTCAGCCTAGAAAAAGCGAGGTCTGCTCTCGAGATGCGCATCGAAATCTCGTCTCCAACAGCGCCGTCAACAGTGATTCAATTTCCCTACTAGACAGAGCTCTCCACAACCTCCAGTGTCTTGCCACCAAGAGTGGGTGCAGGCACCTGCCAGTCTCGAAAAAGAGCCTTGCATTTGGATGGCGGAAAGTACATACCATAGTTTGATGCTTCAATCGCCAAGCGGTTTAGTGTAAGTTTGACGACGTGTGCTTCGTCACCCAGCAAGACGATATCGTCAGCATAATCCAAAGCAACAACTCGACTACCTGGGAGGAGCTCAGCGCCAGCGTTCAACGAAGCGCCCAGAGCGTTCTTCAAGACATCCTCGATGGCAAAGTTGAATAGGAACAGAGAGATAGGGCATCCTTGTCGAACTCCACTGGAGACCACAAAGGAAGGCGAAATCTTTCCATAAGCCCTAAGTATACCCGATCGGCCGGTGGCCGAATGGTCTGCACGTTTGATTTGCAACCATAAGGTCACCGGTTTGAATCCGCGTAGGGGTGGGCGTCCTCGCGGTATACTCTGCCCGCGCGCGACGTGGTTGCGCGGCACCGAAGCGCCGTTACGGCGTACAGCTGACACATTATTATTTATTTTATTAAGTCTGCCCGAGGTCAGACCATAGCGAGCGCGCAGTATGGAGACGAAATTCTCGGGGACGCCATTCCTCAGCGTGCTGTGCCACAGTATTGTCTGCTCGGCAGAATTGAAGGCTGCACATATCTCCAAGAACACAGCAATCGTTGGCCTCTGATACACATGGCGGAGCTTGAGGATCTGGTAGAGTGTGCAGATTTGCTCGATGCAGCCACAACCGAGGCGAAACCCAGCTTGTTCTTCTCGGTGCGATGGTTCGCGCGTTAGGATAACCTGCGACGTATGATGGACACCAGCAGCTTGCAAACAACGGGGGCTAAGCTTATGCTTCTATAGTTGGAGCAGATTGTGCACAGACCCAAGATGACAGAACTTCTTCTTTTGACAAAACTTTCGAAAACAAAGCAGTGTGTTCTCGAACTAGTGAAGCGCCACCATCTTTAAATGAAGCTGGAGATAGACCATCAGGGCCGGGGGCTTTATAACCTTTCATCTGGCGGTGCTCCTGTTCGATTTCATGGTAACGGAGAATCTGGGAGTAGGGCACTCGGCACTAGTGCCAGCGCCGAAGGTAGCAGATGGAGCTGGAAGCCAACAAAACTGCGAGCTAAAATATTCGGCCCATCGACCCAACCGTCGTTGATTATTGGTGATTAATGTCCCATCCTCTTCGAACACATTCGGTGACTTGCATGAGATGGAAAAGTTTTCTGGTAGTACCAGAGACTAGCAAGCTCCATCTCCCTAGCGCGTTCACACCACCAAGCTTCGCGGTCCATTTGCAGACTTCTGCACAACTCTCGAGCAAGGGATTGGCGTTCTTCACTATGGTTGGAATCCGACGGGATCAAGCAATGTTTGTCCATCATCGACAAGTAGACGGCGGAAATCCAATGTTTCGGTGGCTGACGGGCAACTCCACTAGTGTCGCTACTGCCATCTTTGATCTGCACCCACTGCGAATCGAGGTCACTGTCAATAGTTGAGCCAAGCAATGTGGACAGTGAGGCTTGGTACCTGGTTAAAATCGCAGATTTTTGTAGATTTGCGACGTCCGGTCGGTCGTGAGCGAGCTTGGGTGATCCCCCGAAACGCATGCAAATCTTAGCACAAACCAATGCATGATCGGAATCTAGCTAAGTTGACCAGTACAATCGACAGTCCGTTACGCTTCTGCGCCACCTGTAGCTGATTGCTATGTGGTCAACCTGGGGGCATTCTTGCGTTTGTGAGGGTGGGCGCCAGGTAACAGTGTCTCCCCGTGTGCCAAAAATTAGATATCAAAACATACAAGCGATGATCAGATCAAAGAGCAAGCAGTCTGTCTCCATTGTCTGTCAGGGTTATTCCGTTTCTCATTTTCTTCAAGCTTCTTGCATCCAATGAAATCAATCGACCATTCGATGCTTTTCCAAAATCGTGGTCAGACCGTCTAACTTGTGAGCTGCCGGGATGTATCACTTGACTTTCATTATAAATCTACCTGCTCATTACTTATCGCAGAGTCTTCCACTGTTGCGTATTACTATCCATACTTTAAGGTTCTACTCAATAGACTACTGGTTACTTTTGATTACACGGATGACATTTTGCGTTTTGGTGGTTACCAGGTTGCATGTTCCACCTCGGATGAACACTGGAATATTCCAACCGCTGAATATCCGTTTTGCACCTTTAATGTCCAGGATCTTGTCTCAGGATTTCTAGCCGCGCAAATGTCCTTTGACTAGAGACGATAGAATTGGGGATACCTAACTAATTCAAATAACTTAGTGACTGTGCTAGGAGCAATGCGCATGTAGGTGGTGATGTTAGTTCATCTACTGCGAAGCTTAATCGGCTTTCGTGAATCCACTCGATGAAGGGGATTCGGATACTCCTAATCGTCAAATTCGCAGAACCATAACGTGAGCTATTCTTCTCTACATCATCAGACTACCCATCGGTCTGAGAATCTGAGGCTCTTTCAGACGTGTCTGAAGCAGTAATGTGCGGAGGTGACTACTTGGCGGTAGTGATCAACTTCTTTGGTCAAATGAGCTATTCTTCATCTTATCAAGTGTTAAGTATGTGCGCCCACGGCTTACTGATGAGATTATCGTTTTGTTTGCCCGAGCTGGAATTACATATGATTCATTAGAAGTAATCGCTTACATGATTGCATTATTGAAGCGTTAGCTGTCTTCTCCTTGATAGACCAACGGTTTAAATTGTTTTCGTTTTTTAGTTATTTATCGTTTAGTTGCAATACAAGGCTATGAAAACAGCAAGGAATCTGTTCCATTTCTGCCTGGGTTTTTCTCTTAATCACGTTAGCCAGCAGTCCTTGACCTGTGGCCTTGGCATTTCGATATGCATTTTGGTCCTCTGTGTTTTTTTGATGCATCTAGGTTTTACATCAGGTCCCTCTTCTCCACCAGCAGTGCCATTGTGGTTGTGCGGCATGGATACACCAACTTGCTGTTGTACCTCTCTGGATGAATGGTTCATGTTTGTTACCTCGAAGTTGACCTCAATTACCTCGATGCGTCGGACCGTTTTTGAAGTGAAGCCAAGTGTTTGTTGATAAGTATCGATTATTATTACTTCATTGTCATAACCTCACTGTTGTCTGTTTGTCATGGTCAACTCTTCTGCATCTACCTGCACTCTAAGGGGACATAACTTCGAGCCTGGTGCATCAATGATGATTTGGCGCTGACTGTTTTGTGCTCTGATCTGTACACTCGACCAGTACTGCACAGTGTAATCAATCAATACGTCCGTGTTTTGTACATCACATAATTCTCTGACTGACGGATATCACTGTGATAGAAATTACACAGTGTTTGCGATAACGACCTCGTCACATTTACAGTCGCTGTTGTCTTTCAATAAAGTACAGTTCGTTGTTTCGTGATAGCCACTTTTCCTACCACACCTTGTGTTCGGTTACTAATTCCCGCTAACTTGACGCGGTTTTTACCGTCAGCAATTCATCTACGTTTGCTTCTAACTCCCTTTTCCAACTTAGGGATAAATGGGACGATATCAATTTGCTTCTTGTCGGGTTCGGTCAACAACAGTGTCTCCCGGTGTCTCCACGGTGTCACAGCTGCTTGAACAGAATGATTTGTCCGACGGGAAGAAAGTATAAATTAGCAAAAAAATGATCTATTTCTCTTACCCGTGTTCCCAATTTTATCCCAGAGTATAAAACTTTTTCTGACTTTCACTATTTTTGTACTCTCTCACTTATTCATCTATAAACTTGGTACTTTGGTTTGCGACTTTGTCACACTTGCTTTCTTACTGGATGCCACCGAGTTGCGTTCACTTTATGCATTAATCAAATAAATAAAATCGTATATGGCTCGACGATGCGAGAGGCCGTTCCCAGAAGGGACGGATCAAATAATGGTACAGCAGTTTCATATCATGGTATAATAAATTTAAAAAATGTGAGCACAAAATGAAAATTTGTGTAGCGCGAAGTGGTCCAAAATATTTACATTCCTCTTGTTCTATCGTCTGACAAGTTTTTAGCAGTCACGTGAGAGTTGATCACACACGAAAAAGAGAGAGAATAAAGTGCTGCGGGCCAAAATATAACCACTTGTGCACTTGACCACATGCATTTTCAGGCACCATTAACTCCATTGTCAAAAGCGTTATCTAAGAACTGTGCTGTTCGAAACTATTATCACATTTTGCACGGTTAAGTGATCTTTTATCGAAGGCTTAAACAAACGCAATGTGCAACAAGTTCTGATAGCTCTTGGAAGTTTGTTCCAAAGCTTTGAGCAGTGTATTAAGAAGAAACGCTCCCTAATTCGCGTATTGAACTTTGGAATCATGACCGTTGTCTCTTTATTTCGTAGCTCGTATCTAGTGTTAACGGACATATGGACAGTTAGCATAATTGTGCATGTGATGGTGAATTATTCTGTACAGGAAACACAAGTTCATCTTCATTATCCGTAGCCAAAGTGGGTCAAGTCCAAGTTTTTCACTGCGCTCTCTGTAGGTCATCTTGGAGGAATATCCGCACAGCTTCTTTGTAAAGCGTGGCTGTACCCTCTCAAGAGCATGCTGGTCAGATTTCCGCAGATTCGACTGTAGTAGTGAGCAATATTCCATGCCAGGTAACACATATGTTTTGTAAAGCCAGATACGAGATTCTGTGAGTTGAAATTTATGACAGATATAGCCAATAGTCTTCATGCCTTTCGAAACTTGGAAGTCACCATGTTCCGAAAAGTCGAAGGTAGTGGAATACCGCACACCCAAGTCGCGAATCACTTTGCACTGTGATATAAACGTGCCTTGTAATAATAGACTGCCTGGTGGAACTTCGCATTTGTACGACAGAATATTACACTTGTCCACGGAAAAGGACATCTGCCATATTTTGCACCAGGATTCAAGTGCCGATAGATCTTCCTGAATGTGGCACAAGGCTGCGCGGGTATCTGCACGTTCTTGTGAGTAGACGATTTTAATGTCATCAGCAAACAGAAAAGTAGCACCATGTCTTATTCTATGAAATACATCGTTGACGTAGAGGAGAAAAAGAAGTGGACCAAGTACACTTCCTTGAATTACTCCACTGGTGACTGCTTTCGGTTTAGAGACACGGTCCCCAATACGCACCACCTGATCTCTGTCAGCTAGGTATGACGACAACCAAGAAAACATTGGTTCTCCAATACCTATTTCCTTCAGTTTGAGGAGTAGTCTTCGATGCGGCACTCTGTCGAATGCTTTTTGCGTGTCTAAGAACAGGACAGTAACACTGTTGCCTTTGTCTATGGCAGCCGTTGTGTGGTTTAAGAAGTCTGTCTGGCATGTCGCACAAGATCTGCCCTGCAAAAAACCGTGCTGTGAATTGTTAATGACGTTTTTCTTATTCAAGAAAATAAGTAATTCATCTTTCACTATCTTTTCCATAATTCTAGATATTACAGGTGTGATTGATGGAGCGATAGTTTATAATTTCGTGAACGTTTCCATTCTTATGCCGCGGGATAACAACAGAAGTCTTCCAGTGATTAGGATATACTGCAGTGTTAAAAGAGAGCGTAAAAATGTTGAGCAATAGAAGAGGCAAGCCGCTCCCACCGCTTTTTAACAAACAAGGGGGAATTCCATCAGGTCCTGGGTAAGTCGAGGAAGACAAGCGGGAGACTTGACCGGAGATTTTTGCAATAATGAATTCCACTGTGCATAAACTTTCAGCAATGTGTGGTGTGACAAGCGCTGGTGTGGCTAGCGGTTCATCAACCATTGATTCGGCGAAATAGGCGCTGAAAGCCTCAGAAATTTCACCCGGAGCATCAAGGTATGTGCCATCCGGCATAATGATAAAATTGATGGAATTACTGCGACGCAAACCTCTGACACGAAACAGTTTGGACAGTTCCGTTGTTTTATTCGGGCCAATCAAAGCTTTGTATTCTAATATGAGATTGCGAACATTTAGATGCCCGAGTTCTTCGATGATCTTTGCCTGCTGCAGTATTAGCGCAAAGTCTGCTGTTAATCTGAATTTCCGCCGGATCTTATGAAGCTTACATGTGATACCTAACACTTTGCGATCGGGATTTTGTTTTCTTAGGCGGGTACGCTTTAGAGGCACTAATGAATCAATGCAAAGACCGGTGATATCATAGAACACGTCTGCTGCTTTTTGAGGGCATGGAGAGAGGAAGAAATCATCCCAGTTCATCGAACGAACCACATCCTTAAACGTGTTGCAGTTGACGGAGTTGAATAAACGATAGTGCAGTGGGTGTGATTCATTGGCCATGCGTAATCTTAAACCGCATTTGACCACCTGATGGTCGCTCCCAGGGAATTCATTAAGGACCGTTACATTAATAGCAGGTATGCCCAGCGAGAAAATGAGATCAAGGATGCTGTTTCCTCTGGTAGGTTTGGAGACATGTTTTTGCCAACCATTCATATGTATACACGAGATAAGATTATGAAATTTCAGAGGAGCAGTTCCTGCAGACCATGCAATCGATGGCAGATTGAAATCACCACCGATAATCTTGTGTTTAAACGGTAGGCTTGCGGCATATTCAAATGCAAACGTCAAAGCTACTAAGTCCTCTTGGCTACAGTTCGGCGTGCTGTATATACAACCAACAAGCAGTTGCTGGTGTCTGATCGTTATCGTAAGCCAAAGTGACTCTTGCACATTATTCAGCACTGGATTCTCGAATGTCGTTGCTGCCAGCGATTGTTTCGCGTAACGTACGCATCCTCCTCCTCGACGACACTGCCGATTTCTCATAAACATATCATATCCGAAAATGGTTAACTGGGTGTTAGACATGTCGTCATGGCACCACGACTCAGTTATAAATATGTCAGGATCGGTCACGTGATCCGCTTTCCATTCCAAACGCACTATGGTCATCACGACAAGCTTACTACCAAACAACTATCATTTGTCACCCACCGCGTGAAAGTTTAACGAATACTGGCCGTTGTTGTAAAAGCCCTTATCGCATTTTGAACAATTTTCGTGATGTTCCGTTCTGAATTCAACTTCTGTGGACTGAGACATTCTCCGTTTGATTTTGTCTGCTGAAATTTGATGGCCAACTTATCTCTCGAAGCCAGTGTGCATGGTACCATTACAACTCGGTGATGCAGTCGATCACAGTATCTGCGGCACTTATCCCACCTAGCAATGTATCATTGTTGAGCAAACCTCCCTGGAAGGACCACAAAGCAAGTGTTCTGATGCGATCCTACGTAACCTTGACGTAACCAGTTGCCTCACTTGACAACTAGCGAGTTTGCAGCTTCTCTACTGGTCCATATAATTTGATGACTCGTCATAACACGCTTTTAGAGCGCGACTTTCTCATCTTGGTGTACTGGAAAAGATCACGGAACTTCTCTCTCACGCAGAGCTCAATTTTTTATTGATGCATCTGATGTCCCTAGACATCTACTTTAACCCAGTCAGCAACATAGTGATGTGCAGATGTCTTGGATAGCGGTGATCTCACTGGTTGCAGTAAGCCAGATTGAGCGCTGAGTACATCACCATAATTCATGTAAATAAACAAATGGGCTATTTAATTTGTTGTCCTCAACCTACTCACTTTGTTTGGGCTGTCATATGCCTGCCTTTACGACGAGTGGAATCACAGCTGAACTAGGGAGGTTCTCGTTGCCACAAGCCCTCATCAACGCACTCCGCCACCGTCTCCTTCTCTGGCTGAACTCTTCGGGTGTAGGCAGCTCGATATGCGACTTCTGGATTTTAAGGTAAACATCACTGCAAACTCGCCGAGCTGAGAAATTCGATTGCTCGACTCTAACTACCAATATTTTGACTTATTAAAACCACTACAAATGGGGTTGTGCAGGGAACGTGTGCTGCAGTCGTTGAGATCACATTTTTGAATGTTGGGGTATCCGATGTGTTTTTGAGCTGCCAAGTGCAATCTGGGATGGGACAACGACCATTTCTCACAATTTAGCCTCTTCAGATCACTGCGACTTTATCTGAAGTAAAATTATGGTACCAGTTGTTTGTCGCCAATTCTACCCTTCACTACCGGTTTCGTCAATATTGGGACTTGCGTTGAGAAAACTGATTGGTTGTTAGTTGAACCCGGTATCAACTGACTACCGGTCGCTATCGCATTATGCTGCTAGGCTCCATCATTAACGTTTACCCCCGCGGATATGTACTTACCTTTGGGTACTCGCTAGATCGCTCATCGTGCCCCATTGGAGCCAACGGCGAACATTCGGATAGCGTGTGATTTTTAATTCAAGTAGAATGCCCATTTGTTACGTCAAGTTTCGTAAAATAAACAAAATACGAAGCTTTGAGCAAACAATCGACCGACTTCGTCGCATAGCCTCCACTACTCCTCGCCTTTATGGTCTCCAAAAAACACATAAACCTGACACACCATTGAGACCCATACTAGATATGAGGAATTCACCGCACCACAACATTGCGCAGTGGCTGACAAAAGTGCTGAATCCCATCATGCAAATTGTTGCTCCTCACAGACTGGCAGATACATTTCAGTTCATCAACGAAATTAGAGATATGAATGTCCAAGAGCATCGGATGTTTTCCTTAGATGTTGTTTCACTGTTTATCAACGTACCTCTGATAGAAACAGTTAACTACTTGTGCTCACACATTGACCAACATGGTATAAATATCGGTATACGAAGCAACCAACTGATACTCGTAGGTACGAAGTTCAATTTTAATTCAATAGCGAGTTTTATA